GCCACCTCCCTGCTCCCTGAAACAGCCCTCTGCTCCTGGGCAGGGGAGCTGTCCAGCATAGCCACGAAAGCTGCAGAAATGAAGATGGTGGCAGGCAGCAGGAGCCTGCTGTGGCCAAAAAGCTGCAAAATGTTTAACTGTGGTTTCTTAAAGGGGCAGAGCTTTTTTCTTGACAACTTTGCCCCAGCTCTTCATGTTGGATCCACGGCTATCTTGGCTTTTTGCCCAGAATGGACCAAACTGTTTGATATCTTAGACTAACTACTCTACCACCAAAAACAAGCATTTTAAAACTTACATATGCTTCAACTCAAATCTCCTATGTACTAAATGTATTGAAATTTTGGGATTGCTAGTCATCATGTTGGCTAGCTGAGATTAAATCATTTAACTTGTATAAATTTTCTTAACTCAAACTGCAGTAGCACTACTTCCACATTTTATGAAGTGTTTGTCAGCTTTTATTAACTGATGGGAATGGTCATCATGTCTACCATAAACAAATAGCTTCATCGAGGAAAACGTGTTACAGAAAGCATGCTAATAAGTTACGTATCAAATTAAAATTGTATTTGTATTTGGACTACCTGGTACAATGAAAGTGACTTACTCAAGCTGTCAACTTAATTTTAACCTTGCTGGTCAAATGAGAGCTAGAAATATTAAAAATACTTTCTGCAAGCTCAGGGTGTTTCAGCTTGTTTAAAAGGTTCCCACAGTTTCTGCATGTGTATATATGCCCATTTGAGGTTTATTTTGTTTTGTGGTATCACAATGTTTTACTCAGGAATATTAGTTCTGTCATTGTATACATCAGCCACATAAATTGGTTACTTTAAATCTTGTATTTTGTATTAATAAAATACTATGCAGCATACTTAATATTGCAAAGCCATTATAACGGAATGCTTTTAATAAAAATTATTTATAAATGACTCAGAACACAGTGAATTAAATACTAACACAAACATGTAGATTTGTGAAGTAGGTCTATTGCAATAATTGGGCTTTTTGAATTTATCCTAATTATGAGATCAGCTATTAAAATAAGTGAAAGTTATAATAGTGTTATAATAACTAGTAATATGTTGGAGGACGGGATTGAGTTAGTCCGAAGAAGTCTACTGATATGACTCCAGGACAGTGGTAAGATCATGAGTGACAAACAAAAGCATAGAATCAGTGGACTGAAATTGCTGTGTTTGAAAATTAGGCCTATTTGGTGAGTAAAATAAGTAGATGGGGTATTTCATATCTACTGGAGGGTCTTAGACAACAATTGTGGGGGAGAGGCTGGCTCAGTGAAAAAACAAGAAAAGAGGAAGGAGTGAGCTTCCTTCCCCATTTCAGGTGCTACTTGGGACGCTGGATCATCTTTATCCTTATTCTGAGGGAGCTTCTAATGAGACTGGAGCAAGAGAGGGACACAAGACAATCCTACATCTACTGCTCCCGCTCACTTGCTCCTGCCACTTAGGCTAGGTCTACACTGCGTGGTTTTTTTCAGCACAGATATGCAAATGGTGTGTTCGTTTGCATATCCTCTTCCAATCCTATTTGCAGAAGAGGTTTTAGCAAATAAGCCCTTTGTAGGCAGGGCCATTTGTCAGAAAAAAAAACTCTTTTGCACAAGAGCCTATAAACCTCTTTTTGTTTTTTGTTTTTTGCATTGGCTCAGGAGAGTATTCAAACTTCAGTTGCCAGTCAGCTTATCAGATCTAGAGCAGGTCACATACTGCAGAAAACGTTGTAAATTTTTAATAGAATCTTTAACTTTTTGAAAAATAATGACTATAATTTGGCTGAAAAACGGTAGATAGTTCTGCCAAATAATCATTAACAACTAGGAGATTTTAAACCAGCTCAGTCTGACTCCTTTTCCATCTAGAAAGCAGGCTCCAAGGACATGTGACATGGCTGGCCATGAGAAGTACCAAGCACAGCACCTGGCAAAGGGTTTAATGTGACTCCTTTGGAAACCTAAAGAGTTGCATGAAAGTAGCAATAAAAACAACAGATCAAATAAGTCACATTTTAACGTGACTTAATTTACCATGCCTAGTTCTCTTGGGGTGAAGTCTCCACACATGCCATAATAAATACCAGAGGAAAAACATTGCTCATTAGGGATCATAGAATCATGATTCTATGACTAAATGACCCCGCAAGGGTCCTGTAGTTTAACTCTGTCAAGATGCAGACTGTTGTGTCTAAAACAGAGGTGGGGAACCTTTTTTGGGTAGGCGGCTGCTGACCTATAGAAAAATTAGTTGGGGCTGCACAAAAGTGAGAAGTCTCTGACTGAGAAGGAAAAGACCTGACATTCCCTACCCCGGTCTAAAAGGGTGTGCCTTAATCTGAACTCACTTGAATACTGAGACTTTTTTCTTTTGTGGTAGGTACTTCCTTCTACTTCGATCTATTGCTGTGCGGTCTCAAACTCATGTCTTGTGGACTAGCTATAGGCCAGAGTATATTTGCAATCCAGCCCAGGAGAGAGGCATGTCTGTCCCCAAGCCTCTCCTCTTCCTGTCCTCTCCCTGCATTGCATCCTGTCTCCCAAGAGTTGTGGCCTCAGAGGTTACCTGAGGTGATACCTGGCAAAGGATAGTTGCAGTCAGGCCTCCCACATTCCCCTCAGCAATGGGTGCCTATTAATAAAAATTGTTTTTCACACACTGCTGATTCTAGAAAAAAGAAACTTTACAAAGTTATATATAATGGCCATACTGAGTCAGACCAAAGGTCCACCTAGCCCAGTATTCTGTCTTCTGAAAGTGGCCATTGCCAGGTACTATTGGCCGTTAATCTGTGGGTTGAATGTCCATTAATAAAAATGTCATTGTCTGCTGTGCTAGTTTTTGAAAATCCTCTCCTAATCAGCTATTTTGTTATATTTAACACCATTATATTTAATTGGTGTTTTCTCTTACTTACTCTTCATGTTTACCTTCTTTATTACAGTTCATTAACTTCCTATCCGTTTATATCATGATTACATTTAATGCTATTGACCACAGCTGTTCTTCCTACAGCTTCGTCTTATTTTCTTTTCTTTTACATTCTGGTATAGTTGCTATAGAAGGCCCAACATAGTGGTATTCTGGTTCTTTACAAAGCTAAAATTAAGTGGTGGTGTGTGTGTGTGTGTGTGTGTGTGTGTGTGTGTGTGTAAATAAATCTCAGGCTATTTTGAAGTTAGAAATAGTGTAACTTATTTGATAAGAGGATGTAAAAATATGAAGAATTTTTCATAGTCAGCAGTCAGTATTTTAATTAGCCACTTGATGACACTCACAGTGTCTACTCTCTCTTAAGGAGTAATCATATCGCAACTGCATACCTCCAGGGGGTTTAGATCACTGGATAGCAGTGCCATGGTCATGAAAATGAGACAAGTGCTTTTATTTTTCCTCTTCTATCCAGCTTTAACTGCATCTAGATCTATCATCTTAATTTGTTGAGACATTATGACCACTCCTAGCCTGAACAGTTGAGCTGAACATTAAATAAATACATAAAAAGTATTTGAAAAAGTTAAAAGATGTTGTGCACAAACTATGCGCAGAAAAATGAGGTAAAGAAACCACACTAAAATTAGACCACAGACCAGTCTAGTTTGGTATTTAGCCTCTAGCTGTGGCCAATATGTGGTGTGACAGAAGAAAGGCATGCCCTGTTCAACTCACCTAAATAACTTGTGCAATGTTTTGCACTGGAGTAAGTTTCTCTCCATTCTTGCAAGCCCTTGGCTGATGCTCCAAATTTTGAGATATGGATATATAATATTGTCTTTACCTTGCACAGCTGTAAATGATAACAATGATCATAAAATTATCCAAACAGTTAAAGGAAGCCTATAAACCACAGGGGAAAGGGAAGAAAATAAGTAATGGATGTTTAAACCTTTTGTAGGCTGAATTCTAAAGAAGGCACTGCCCCATCTAAGTTTGTAAAGTATGTGTGAAAGAAAGAAAGAAAAACTCATTACAGCTATTGAAAAGGGAAAGAATGATTACAGGAGAGACTATTCCAAAATAAGGCCCTGAGGATAATTATTTGTAAGCATTTGTCAATATATTAACATGGCAACAAGTATTTCAGATGTATGAATCCTGG